TGGTTACAGTAATTGCTACCGCAGCACTAGTGAGCACACAGACGGTCTTGGCAACGTGCGGACCATCTTGGATGTGCTTGGTTTTGACCTTGACATTGATTCACTTTGCAATTGTGTGAGGATTATTGTATGCTTTGCCCGTTTATGCAAGTATGGATGTTTTTTAATAGCTCAGAAGATGCAAAAATTTTCCTCAGTGCTTCAGGTATAAAGAGCTTTATGTGCCGTGTGAGTTTGTTCCGATGCCTTTCTGTTAAGCATAATAATTTTTTTTGGTAGTGTGACCAGAAATTAAATCTATACCAGAAAAAGTCCTGTATATGAGGTAACTAAACTGAGAAACTGAAGTGATGCTTGCCAGGAATTTGTCACTGAAGAATTGGGCTTACTGGAGTTAAGACTCTTATTTTTGTTCATAGTAGAGATTAAGCATTGGGATTTGCTGGTTGGTCACTAGTTGGACCTCTTGTTTATATTTCAAGTCGCTAATTTCGGGTATCTTTACGTAAGATCTAAGCCTAGATTTTGGGCTAGAACAAAACAGTATCTTGGCAAGTATCTCTCTTGTAGAGAGGAGTAGTAGCAGAAAATACAATGAGGCGTGCCTTTGGTCGAAGCAGATGGTTTCTGCCGTGGAAGAACAAACACATACCAAGCAAACAAGGAGCCCTATAGGGACAGTTATTTCTTGAATTTGAAAAACACAGCTCCTTTGCTCTCCACCGAGAGACGCAGAAGCGGAACGTTTGTAAAGGGCATTTTCTGTATCATCTTGGAGCACTTCGTTATTCCCCTGTCGCCTATCTTGGGTATGGCCAGGGCCTGATGCTGCAAGTGTTAGAAGCACGGTCTTGAATTCTGGTCTCTCTAGTGTCCTTGGTGGTGTCAGTGAGCGTTAAGATAGCAAGGCTAACAGGCTGCCATGATTATTTGGATGATTCTTCCCTTGGCTTCCCCAGACGAAGGAATTTCTTTTTAATTGTTATTCTGAAAACTACACTTTTGTCCATTTAAATTTAAGCAGATTGCTGAGAGTTCTTTGACTAGGGTATTCTTGTTTCAAGATCAAATCTATGATTTCAGCCCCCCAAATTTTTGTCAGCAAGTTCTAAAAGTCTTTAATTTTAATTTCTTTTTTAATGCTTACTTCTTGCATTCTCCTTAGCTTTTGCTTGCTAAGTAAGTTGTTTCCTGAACTCACATAGTTGTTCTTTCACTTATGTGATTCTCTTACAAACGCTCTGGCACGTTGATGTTCTCAAAGCACAGACAACAGAGCTGGATGTAGCATTTTGCTAGCTGAGCGCTTGTTTGAAGTCGAAATCTGCAACTTGGGCTGTTCTGTTTTAAAATGCTATTATGTGCATGCTTGTGTAATTTGGTATTAAACTTGTGTTATTAAATCAACTACGGAAGTGTCCTCATTTAGACGCAACGTGTTTGAGTACAGGGTTTCTACTAGATCACACTCTGGATGATGTGTTCCAGTGGAAGTTCTTGCATGCATCCCATGTCACTAGTGGATGACTGGGTTGCTTGTTTATTTTAGTAATCACTTTGCACCCAGTTTTTTTAAGGTCTCGTTAATTTACAGGTCATTTAAAAAAAGCCTCGGATGAAATCCGAGAAATTAGCTGGGGAAGGGTCTGACAGGGCTGGTGGGGAGCGGCTGAGGGAGCTGGGGGTGTTCAGCCTGGAGAAGAGGAGGCTGAGGGGAGACCTGATCGCTCTGCAGCTCCTGGCAGGAGGGGGCAGGGAGGGGGTGTTGGGCTCTTCTCCCAAGTAGTTAGCGATAGGACGAGAGGAAATGGGCTCAAGCTGCGCCAGGGGAGGTTTAGGTTGGATATTAGGAAAAATTTCTTCACGGAAAGGGTAGTCAAGCATTGGAACAGGCTGCCCAGAGAGGTGGGGGAGTCCCCATCCCTGGAATCGTTCAAAAAACGGGCAGAGGTGGCACTTGGGGACATGGTTCAGTCTGGTCTGCCCTTGATTGGTTTAGTGTGGACTTGGTAGTGTAGGTTAATGTTGGACTGGATGATCTTAAAGGGCTTTTCCAACCTAAACCATTCTATGATTCTATAAATCAGATTGGCCTCTTCCCAGGCTTCCTATGGTTTGTGCGGCTGAATCTCTCGTAGCTGTACCTGTAACACAGAGCACGCTTGTGCCGAGCGCCGAGTTGCGTTGCAGGCGCAGTCTGTGCCGACTCCTGTTGATAACTCCTGTTGATAAACCCCCGTGCCTCTGGCTGCCTGGAGATGCTAGCTTAGGTATTGCGAGCAGCACACTTGGCAAGCTGCAGCATAGTTGGCGTTGCACCTACGGTAAGTCTTGCCTCTGTGAGATTTGCAGCTGTGAGCACGGTGCCGTGATAATTTGCTGTATGATTTCTGCTTCTAGAGCTAGTATGGGATTTTGTTTCAGTAGCGGTCCTTGTACGCTTTTCTTTCCCAGGCAGCTCTACACAAAACCCCCTGTCAGAAACCACTAGCTATCTCTGTTTAGCCATGCTTATTCCTTCCATTTTGTAATCATTACAGACTTAAGGTTCCTGTCACCCTAACTACCTTCTACCTGAGTGTTTGGTGTATTTTTGGGGTTTTGGGGGGTTTTTTTTGCCCTACCAGATCTTCCTTACTGCTCAGAACCAAACCTAAAACGAGCAGGGATGTCACCTGGTTTTGGGGAGGGGGCAGCTGTCACCTACACCCTTTAGGAATTCAATAGGGAATTCCAGTCTGCTGCTTCACAGGCACCCAGCTAAAATCTCTGGCCTTCCTTTAAAGTTCGTTCAGAACAGCTTCATCCATTTCCTGCTTTGGTGGCTAGCGCACCTCAGGGCAATTTAGCATGGCATCATCCTCTGCCTTAAATGTGTTATAGTTGTGTGTATATATACCTCTCTGTACATGTCCATAAAGTAAATACAGAGAGAGTGCAAGAGTTTTGTTCTCTCTCCTCTCCTCCAAACCCACTTTGTCCACAGGTGAGTGTTTCAGCTGAAACATTTCAGATTAACCTTGAAATTGATTTCAGTCAGGCTGAGACGGTTTGGTTTCTTAATGTGAAGCAGGTCGAATTTTGGCTAATGAAACTTTGTATTTGACTTCAGTGTGAAAACGTGGCTGTCATCACTACCAGTAATTGCTTTTTGTTCTTCAGAACTGCGTTGTGTACCTAATTGTTCTTAGGCAACCAAAGGTTTGGGAAAATGGAACTTTTGGGACAGTCGTAATAACAAATGCTCATCAGTACCTCTGTATCAAATTTTTGTGTTTTGATGCACATACTTCCTTGCACACTTACGGAACCTGTTTATGTTCAGTAAATTAGTAAAATTGGGCGACTGTTGTGTGTGGTGTTAAATCCAGTTTACATGCAGCCTACAAACTGATACGAGTTCTACTGACTGGGTAACTCATGAGCTAAGTTAAGCTGCTTTGAACTTTGCAGGGTAAACCAGCACGCTAAACTTTTCCCGTGTTTGTCAGTCAAGATTGTAGTTGCGCGTTGGTCACTGAAATAAACCATTTAAGAAGTGGTCTTTCAGCCTCTGCTTCCTTCAGCTTCTAGACCAAAGGGGAGCATGTGTCTTCTAGTCAATGCCTTGCAGCTGGTAAGGCAAAGATTTGAGCGCTGATAAGGTTTACAAGCAGTGGCTCATCATTGTTCTAATACCACGCTATCATTTTTGAACTGGAATTAGCTCGGATCCATTCAGCTGAAAGCACAGTTGGAGCAAGTCTTTGCTTTTGTTTCTGTGTGGACATACTCCAGTCAAACTAGAAGAGTAATGGTGATCACCAGCAAAAGGAGCAAATGGTTGCTGTCTTTACACTTAGCAAAATGAAGCAGCAGCCATCCATAGCGACTTAGCACTCTTGTCCGCATTTTTATTTCTTAAAATCGTCGATAGAGCTCTGTGCTCGCAGGATTACTATCGTTGCTTCCTTTGATTTAGCGTAGCTTCACCGCGGTATGTTAGCCTTGGACGTGCGTGATCCCAGTAGAGATCAGGATGCCGGAAACCTTGCTTTTTGCTGTGAAATAATGTAGTTAGTTACTTACCCCTCTCTCATCATAGTCTGTTATAGTGAGAAGAACTAGATGCAGCTTGGATAAATTCTACACCTGTTTATGATTCAGGTTAAAACACTGGCTGAAGGTCTGTGATTGGAAATTTGGAGACTGAGCAGCAATAAATGAGTAAGAATGCAGGTCTGGTGCAAGTAGAAGCCTTCAGTCTCTACAGGCCTAAACAATTTTGTTATAGTTTATAAAAATTTTACGAAACTTTATTTTGATTGATTCTTGATTCATTGGGGTTTGTTTTTTTTTACTGCAGACGTTAAAGAATTTCTGACCAATTTTCCCTGTGTGTGAAAACTCTTCCCAACTATCAAGCTTGAAAATGGATTTGAGAAAATTGCTTTTGTAAACACTTAGTGCCATCGCTGTGGTGGTAGGGGTAGTCTTCAGCAGAATAGTTTTAGTGTTATTGCACTAGTTAACCTGTGTATACAGTGTGTGTAATAGGTACTCAAAAGCAGTATTTTTAAACCCAATTTTCTTTTTTAACTAGATGTGAAATACTACTTTTACAGCCTTACGTGGGGTCAGTATTTAAATGCAACTTGTGTGTATACACACTTTTCTAGCCAAATTTGCTCATATGGCAAACTGTAAATCGAAATTTAAGAACAAATACCTGCCAGTAGAATTATGTTGGTGAGAGATGTGGCTGTGGGTATATCTACTCCAAGGGCTTTGGTTTGTGTCCATGGAAAGTACCCCCACTACCACCAAAATCATATGCTAGGAGGATTTTTTGCCAAGCACTCTTCCAAAGCGCCTCCCTAAGCTGACAAAAGCAGTTTTGTCGTCATATTTGTATTGGTGATCTAGCATGGGTTTCTCCTCTGTGCTAGCAAAATCATGTCTGAAGCTTAGACGCACAGTGTATTCTGCTAGTAAAGGATTAAATGCTGGTTTTTTCATAGTCAACACATAGTGTACGGAACATAACTTTTTTTTTCCTCTTCTTTTTCAGCTTAGGTCTAATATCAGATTCTTTTCATATGTTTTTTGACTGTACTGCTCTATTGGCTGGATTAGCAGCTTCGGTTATTTCGAAATGGAGGTCAAACGATGCTTTCTCATATGGGTAAGAAACTTCAGGCTGTTACCTTAATATATTTTAGTAAATGTCTAGGTGGTAATTTTTCACTATATGAACAAAACCTTTTTTTGCAGAACGTGGAAAAGCTGTGTTCAAAGAGTGGGTTTTTTTTTTAAGGCGAGTTATGTAAACCTTTAAGTTAATGTCCCCCTAGAAATAGTAAAAACGTGAAGGCATTGCTTTTGGGGAGCAAGGTTTATCACTTCTAAGATCTCTCTGATGATACTAGTGGAAACGAGTTACACAGCAGAAGGTTGCCCTGCGTTGTCACGGCTCATGGTAGCAGCGCAGTGAGAGCAGCCATGTCCCGGGTTTGTCCCCAGGGCGCAGCGAGGGGCGTTACGGGGGGTCTCAGGCTGCTGGTGCCCCATGCCGCCTTTTGGAAGAGAGAGTTACCGCTGAAAGGAGCTGCGTGTCGGGGATGCTGCACCTGAGATAAGCCATGCTGCTCAGAACCAGCAGGATCCGGCAGCCGCGGCCACCGTTAAGGCAGATCCTCAAGGCTGAGGTACATCATCCCATACCGCCCTTCGTGGGTACCGCTGCTGCCGCTGGCTCCGTTGGAAGGGCGCTTGGCTCCGTTGCACGGTGCAGTTGTGCCCTATAAAACAATACTGGTGATACAATATCATTAATCGGTGATACTGATTAATTAACAGCAAATGAGCAGTAACATGGGTTGCTGCATCCTCCCCCTAGCATTACTGACCTGAATGTCAGTATTTAGCTTCAGCTGTCTTGCCTAAGCGTGGGTCGTGTAGTTTGAAACTTAAAGCGCTGTTTTATTACGGTGGAAACCCCAGTATGCCTGGAAATCAATTCAGGAAGAATTGATTGTACCCTGAACTAATTGCAAGGAAAGCAGGTTCTCTATTAATTACTGCTCTGCATTTAAACAGCTGGTGTTCCGTTTATTAGAGAGCAGTCACAATTTATTAAGTCTGATGCTTGCTTCATTGGAATTACATGTTATTCTAACCTGGCTGGTTTTTACTGGAAAAAAAAATCAGTAGCGGAAATAATTAATTCCTACTTAAAATTTTTACTAAAAATCCCCCTACTAGAGGGGGAGCAAATGAATGTATGGCTGTTTGGTGTTAAACAGAACTTTACATCAGCAGACTTCGATTACACCTTGCACGTATTTCTTAGTTTGTGGCTTCCAAATATACCTTTATACCATAACTTCCAGTAGAGATGATCTTAAATGGGAAGATTTTGAAGTATTGAAAGTTTTCTTTCATCTAGATCAGGTAATGGATGATCTAGATCAGGTAATTTCTGTCAAAATACAACCTTGTGAATTCCATATGCTTATCTGTAGTTTATATACTGCATCTTCCATTTACAAGTACCTGTATGATACAACTGTTTGAGAACTAGGAGATTGTACTCCACTCTTAAGTTCCACTTTTAATTTTCAGCGTTTAAATGGAGGTGGTAATATCTGCTGTTGCTTTTTTGTTTCTTGCAGGTATGTTCGAGCAGAAGTACTTGCTGGTTTTGTAAATGGTTTATTCCTCATCTTTACAGCATTCTTCATTTTTTCTGAAGGTGTTGAGGTATGTTACGAAGTCAATCGCACTATCAATTGTCACATTTCTATTTGTAGAGCATACTTAATGGGGATAAAAATTATTGAAATTGATTATGTTCATAATTGGTTAAAAATCTGTGATTTGAACACAGAATAGGGCCATCTGAAATTGCTGTTTTGTGACCGAGAAACCCAGTTTTTTCAGGGTATCCGTACTAGCTTCTTACTAGTGTATTTCGACTGTGTGGGAAGATTCTGTGAGATTTACCCTGTCCTTTTTTCAGCCAGTTAAGTGTGTCATAGAAAGATCTTTACTTCTCATTGTTAAAGGACAAATGAGGCCAGGAAAGAAAGGCAAGAACTAGTTATTGAGAGGAGAGAAGTTAGCCATAAGAAATGGGGATACATTCTGTGACGAAGTTGGACTAACTCATTAAAGAAAGAGCATTATCTTCCAAATCTTGAAGTCTGATATCAATGGCAAGTAGTAACAGCTTTAACGTTTACAAGGCTGCTTGTCTTGAATTTTTGTTTTTTACAAGATGGTTCAGGTGATAATTTCAAGATGACAATTTAGACATCAAGGGTGTCTGCACTGAAGTGAGGTAGGATTAAGAGTAAAATTGATAACTGATTCTGATCAGCTGGCATTAACGCTTTTACTTTTTAATGGGAGATGCACTATAAATTTGTTTAGACCCTTAGTTCAGAATACATTCTAGTGGGTTGGTTTTTTAATTAATAGAGAACTAGGAAGAGCTTTCAGGAACATATCCTTTGTATAGATAAGCCTGTAAATACTTCAAAATCAGTACAAACTGGGCTGAAATTGCCTAAAAGCTTGGGAAAACTTCACTCCAAATCTAGAAACAGCAGCAAAACTTAGTAGAAAAATTTAAAAACTACTACTGGAAGGGTCAAGGGTAATGTTGAAACATCATTCTTTTCCTGCTGGTCTTAACTCCCGCACTAAGTATTCCCTTTGCTTGCGATGGTGACTCCTTTTCTCTCTGTCAGTTCAAAATTTTACATCTGCTGAAAGTTTCGTTGTCTTGCTGTTGCCTGTACCTTTCATCCCTGTGGACAGATGGTGAATGTTTCTCTCCCCTGTTAATAATAATTTACACTCTTCAACACTGGGCTTCCGATGCGAATTGTGTTAGGCCTATAATGTCTTAGTGAAAAAAAACTTCCAGAGAAAGTAGGGTAAAAAAAAAATTAAAAAAAAAAATCAATCTAGATTTCAGAAGTTTTGAAAAATGCCACAACTTGTTCTCAGTCTTCATTTCGTTCCCCTCATCTCCTCACCCTTCTAAGGAGAAAGGAATAAATGGCATTCTAGGCTCTTGGGAAGTTGTCTGGATGACGTGGACAATCCACGTATTACAACGAACTTGAATGTTTTTGTGTAGTGTTGAGCCACATCCCACAGCATTATGAAATCTTATGATAAAAATTAGCTAGACTGTCAGAATATTCTACCATAGTTTCACAGCATTAATAATAAAACTTCAACTTGTAAGAATTATTCTGTGTACCATCCCATAAACTGGAAGTCCTGAGTAATTTCTAACTATGTCTTTATATCTGCCTGTTTGTATGAGAATGCTCCTGTATCTAAGCAGTTTTTTCAGTACCTTTTAATAATGTAAAGAGATTGTAAACCTCTATGTTTGCTTCTTGGTTTTTTTTTTTTTTTTGATAGAGAGCACTTGAGCCTCCTGATGTGCACCATGAGAGACTTCTTCCTGTTTCTATACTAGGATTCATTGTAAATCTTATAGGAATATTTGTTTTTCAACATGGAGGTCATGGGCATTCACATGGCTCTGGTAGGATGTCTATGATTTTCAGTACTGTTCCCTTTCTTGGCACCCTGTGTTCCAGGACCCTATAATCCTCCAACGAGAGCCCCAGGATTAAATTTTAATGTCTTTTTAGTGGCAATCCTAGCCAAATGTATATGTGACTTGTTGCAATATTGTCTTTTATGTTTTATCACTAGCCCTGGTATGTCACTACCATACTTCTTATGTTAATATCCATTAACTGGAAGACCTAGAACTCCAGAATCTGCTCTCTGGAACATGCACTCTTCTGCACCTTATTGGAAGAGATTTGCAGAGTGTCTTTTGGACAAAATTAAACTGGAGTTAAGCGAGGTCTTGGCTGGAAAATTTACAAAACAGTGTCTGAACCAAATATTTAAGTATGGGATGATTCAGCTTTAGGTGCTTCTCAACTTAGTGTCTTTTCAATTTAAATGCAGAGTGAATTTGCCTAAATATATATGGTAAACATTTTGGGGTTTGTTGGTCGTTTGGTTTTTTGGGGTTTTTTTTTTTTCTGCAAAGGTATTGGTATCTCTTTCAGCATAACATATAAACTGGTATAGACGGGTGGAAGAAAATAGTCTTTGGTCTTTAAGCAGCAATTTAAGCTTGAATTTTTAATCTATGAACGATAGCAAATCTCTGGTTTCTTAAACCAGCTATTTTTAATGGTGTGCATTTTTCAAATTGTACTAAAAGTGTAGCACAACTTGTCTCAGAAGTGGGAATGTGTAAAAGCACTTGACTTCTCAAACCAGGTGTGTGTTTTATATGGCTGCACAGCATAGATTTAGATGACAAACAGCTTGTGTTAATTTTCTTAACTTATTTAAAGCCGTACCTTAAGATGACCTAAAAGATGAATACGTTTCGAGTAGCTTAGAAACAAACGTAAGCATACTTTTATTCAACACTTTAAATGTGCGCTCTGATGGTGATATTTGTTTGTAGGGCATGAACACAGCCATTCTCTATTTAACGGTGGTCTCAGCCACGGACACAGTCACGGAGGTCACGGTCACAGCCATGACCATAAACATGCCCACGGGCACGCTCATCATGGCCATAGCCATGGACACTCTCACGGTCAGGATTATTGTCATGGTAAGTACTTAGTTAATGTCACAGTCCAGCTTGACTCAATTTAAATTTGCTATTAATGATTTACTGGGGAAAAAAAAAAAAAAAACAGAGGGTGCTGGCAGCTTGTTGCGAGCATCATGGAAGTAGTTTGGGTAAATGTGTGGTATGCTGTGCCACCGCCGTGTTTTGTGGCTCATTTGGGTAAATGCTGTTTCACTTGCAGTAAGTTCAGTGTTAGTTTTGAAAGGTTTTGCTTTACCTACATTTTTTGAATGTTCGCTGTAAAGTTATGTGTTGGCAAAAGAGAACACTGCTGTGTGCTATGGCAATATAATGAAATTAGTTATCAAGTGTTTCAATTTTTCATTAAAATCAATAGACAAAGTTAAGCTGCTTTGCTCGTGACCTCCACTTGAATAATTTTACAGCTCAAGATACCAGGAAAGATGAACAAGCAATTTTACTTGGGGTAGTGAGGGATTGATATGTCGTGGTTTGTGATCTCAAATACAAGATTTTCCCCGTCTTGTGTAGCTGTAATCTGCTTTAAAGCTGGTTATGAAAAAGGTACTTGGTATCTTAGCTATGCTTAAATCTCTTCTATAAAGGCAAACAATCTGTGAAGAGATATCCATGCAAAATATGATCAGTAGCCTTGATTATGGGAGAGGAGACGGTGTGCTTGCTACCTGCTGGAAACAATGCAGATGGAAGCCTTGTTGTCATACGGGGTTGTCAATCCTTCCTGCCCAAGCCAGAAACCAGAATCTGATGTGACTGTGCACGTTCAGAGCGGGGAATAGTGTGGCAACTTGCAGACAGGAGGTGACAAAGAGTATAAAAATACCTCCTTGCCCCTTCCTTGCTATTTTTAGTAGAAAACTGGTGCTTGTTTTCCAAGGGTTCTCCTGGAGTTTGGTTGGAAAGCAGGAGCTCCCACCTCCTGCCTCTTCCTTGCCCTCCCCATGCCCCCCACCCCAGTGAAACAGCAAATGTAGCTAGCTAGTTTGTGCAATTTGATAATTTCAAATCAGCTTTTGCGTAAATTATTATATATCTTCACTAGAAGTAATTTGCTGTCCTTTACCAGGTTTTTCTTAAAATATCTGACATGTTCCACAGAGGCATTAATCTGCTCGGATGATTTTTTTCTACCTTCTCCAAGTCTTACCCTTGTTGTTTTGCATTAGGTATAAATGCTTGCTAACTAGAAATATTTCACTTAGGCAAATTTATTTGACCTTACTGTTCTTGCTTGTGTGTATGGCTTGTATTTTTGAGGGGGCTTTACTTTGCTAAAGACTAGAAAGGTCTTATTTCTTAGTTTGTTTTCATTAAAAAACAAATCTTGATTTTTATTTTTATATATACGTACATAAAATCTATTGTGTAAAGTAGTATTTTCTTTTAAAAAAATGTGTTTTAAGACTTTTAATTGCTGCGTTAAAGAACAACAGCTAGAGTAAAAGCTAGCCATTGTAAGCAGCTTGTCTGTTCAAGAAATTTCAGAAAGGAAGACGGTAACAGAATATGCCACTAGAGAGAGCCTTTGTGTAGGTTAATATACCAATAATTGTCTTTACAGATGACCACTCTCTTGAAGGGATGACTGGATCCAGCAAACAGATTTTACAAGGTATGACGATAAGAACTATAGTGGTTTATTAGTTTTGTCATGGTCTGCCTGCCTGTGACTGTCACACATCTGGTTTAGAGGGTGCTGCTGGGTGAATGCTACATTTTACTTAGAGGAGCTATTTTATGAAGTCCCCTTCCACCTGTAAACAGCAGTGCCATACCCCGTGCGTGGCTAGGCGTTGGGGCGTTCACGGACGTCTAAATGTGGTGCAGTGTCAACACAGTCTAAAACGGAGATCCCAAAAGCTGGGATTCAGCTTCTGTTGCTGATGCTGAAAAATGATAGAATCATGGAATGGTTTGGGTGGGAAGGGACCTTTAGA